TCCTTTTGTCTTGGGCAAAATCATCTAGTTTTCAAATCTTACGAGGCCAGTATATTCATTTTAAAATCATCCACCCCCTCCCGCGAAAATAAAATTATCGTCCCTTAAGGTATTCTAATAGAATGCAGTATAATACGATACCTAATGATTCGGTATTCGGAAAACAATAAATGTATTGTTTACTCGACGTCAGAAAATTGTATGCACTCGACTGTTCCTCGATGATCAAACATGTTATTACTCGGTCAATAAATATACAATATAATGCCAACCGTCAGTTAGGCAAAGTCGAATACTAAGTTGGGAAAATATAGTCCTTACCAGCTATCACAGACTCAAGATATTTGGACTACTTAATGAAATTTGTAAGCAATTGATTAAAGACATGATCATGCGTTACCCTCATTATTTTAAACTAAAAGGTGGTTCTTTCGATCGTCGAATTTCCCCCACTCCCACAAAAAACAGAAGAACAAAACAAAAGCTGGCATTCTATATTCAAAATTCAAAATATGCAATTCTACAATGTATATATCATTTTGTAATGAAGACATCGTTCAAGACAATATTGGAGCAATTATCTTTATAAATATGATTTATTTTATACATTAAATTGCTTTGCCTCATTAAGATGAAGTCGCAGCTGCGGACACCTTATTTACATTAGTAACGCTATATTACGGAACGTAAAGTTTCTATGCTTTAACGTAGCTTTAAGGGCATACGATACAGTTTTGATCCCACGGAGAATTTCTAACGAAAGTTTGCTTGCAAGCTATTTTTCACCGAGTCAATTCAAATATGTAATAAAAAATATACCTTCATGTCCTACTTTAGAGATAAATGGGGTCGATGTTTTAGCCATTCACCTGTCAGTTTCTTGGACATTTCTATTCCATGGAGTTTTTTGTTTCAAAAGATAAGCGCATGCAGAGTTTTGTAAAAATATCTGGAATATCTTTGCTATCTAACTGTGTTATGAATTTGTGTAACAATTCTTTGGAATAATTCATTTTTCATCATATTTTTATGATTTTAGTCAAAAAACGGATTTTTTGGTTGTACATTGATCTTGTTTAAAAACTTTACATTGTTGGTTTGCACAAATAATCTTCTTACAAAATAAAACTTAATGTCATTTTAAAAAAAGGGGTCCATGAACTAGTTTTCAAGTTAATTCAGTCTGATGATAAAAATCAGTCAAAAAAGGCATCTATTATCAATATGTCACAGTTTGACGTAAGTCGCAAATAAAAAAAAACATTTTACGTTAGCGACGTCATTACTTCCTTAAAGGCATACGATACAGTTTTGATCCTGCGGTGATTTTTTTACAAAAATTTTCATACAAGCTATTTTCACCCAGTCTATTCAAATATGTCACAAAAAATATACATTCATGTGCTACTTTAAGAAATAAATGTGGTCGAAATTTTAGACATTTACTCAAAATTTCAAAAGATAAACAAAAGCGGATTTTTGTAAAAGTATTTGGAAAATCTCCTTGACATACGAATGTTCAAAACTTGTATAACCTTCTTTGGGAATAATAAATTTTTATCAGAGATTCATGATATGAGAAAAAAAACGGCATTTTTTGCTGTAATTTATAAATATCATATTTAAAAAAAAATTACTGTGACTTTTTCATAAAAATTGGTACAAAAAAATATTCATATGTAATCAAACCCAATGTCATTTTGTAAAATGAGGGGTCCATGAACTAGTTAAAGTTTCAAGTTAAATCAGTCTGAATGATAAAAATCAGTCGAAACATGCATCTTTTCCCATTATGTCACAGTTTGACGTCGCGAAAATGACATTTAACGTTAAACTGGACCCCTGTTGTGTTCACTTATCGCTACACTAACAACAGGTACGGCCTAAATCCCGCAGTCAGCTTTCTGTCTACATGATTTAATCATTTAGACGAGACTAGTGCATCATGTGATGTGTTTATTATGTATTATATTGATAGGAAATCAGAAGAGAAATTAGCACATGTATATCCCTACTGAGTTCTTAAGGAAATGAAAAGATACCGGCTCAGTTTGTCAAGAATATGATAACACGCTGTCACCATGGGGTTAACTAACATATACTTATTTATTTTGCGGCATCGCAGTATTAACATTTGAGGTCAAGTTTCTGTCAATATAATTTCGTAGCGATCGAATCGTTGAATTTGTAAGACTCGTTCAATTAATGCCAATGTGACAATGGCTCCAACCCGTTCCTTCGGTGCGGAGATTTAGATGGAATGGCGGACCAGTTTAATTTAACGTTAACAAAGTCATTACCTCCCCTGTAATTGTACTATTATATATATAATAGTGTTATTAACTAGCAGTTTCTGTATTGGCACTGTTAAAGATTCAAGGTTAGCTGTATTGGAACCGAGAGTCGAAGAGTCGAGGGCCAATATAGCTGATCGAGAATATATAGCAGGGCCAATAAAGAAACCACCAGATCATAACAAAGTTATTAAATGATTTTAATTCTTTGATAAAACTAAGAAACGTACCGTGACTGAACTTTTTATTTTTGCATTCAAGATGGATTTTAAGTCAACATTGTCTGATGTATTTTCTAATTTCCTGTCCAAGAACCCAATCTCATGCTTTTACAATTCATTATATCTAGCAAATATAAAATAGCTAGGAAGAATACATCAGAGAGTTTAACTATTCTTAATCTTGATTCGTCTGCGTTCTGATGAAAATCGAAAATTATTATGTAAAATGCGAGTAAGTGACCTTTTCTTTGAAATAGAGAGGGGTAGATATAAAAGAATTCAAAGAGAAAATAGAATATGTAAACATTGTAATATTAGTGAGTTTAAAGATGAAACCCACTTTTTCGTAACATGTAACATTAATAAATCTTTACGAAATCAACTTGAAAACGAAATAATTAATATTTTTCCAGAATTCTTGAAATCGTCTTACTTAGAGCCTCCTGTTCCGTTTATCAAAAGATCATTTACATGGAGTGGACACAACACCTGCACAAATATTATAATTTTTATACGCCCGTTTACTGGACGTATTATGGTATACTGACATTAACTCAAAAACGCTTTAATCAATTTGCAACAAACTTTGGTGATGGTTTATATCTTTCGATGTAAGCTCCCTTTAGAATTTTATAAATTTTAGATTTTATATTTCCGAGTTATGGGGTTTTATTCATTAAAAAAGGGGGGATTTTCCAGTTTTCGAACAATAACTCAAGAATGCTTTCACCAACTTGCAAGAAATTTTGGTGAATTGTTTATATCTATTGACATGAGCTCCCTTTTGATTTTTATAAATTTTAGATTATACGTTTTCGAGTTACATGTACGGGGTTTTATTCATAAAAAAGGTGGATTTTTCAGTTTGCGGACAATAACTCAAAAATGCTTTCAGCAATTCTCATGAAACTTTGGTGAATTGTTTATAGCTATTGATGTAAGCTCCCTTTTGAATTTTATAAATTTCTAATATGACATTGAGAAGTAATTGAACAAAATTTTTCAATGTCACTACATGGATAAAACCAGAGGATTCCGAATATTTGACAAAAGGTTAAAAAAAACACAAAAAAATTAAGCGAACATCCTTAAGATAAAACGATCGTAACACATACAAATATTAGTTTCCTTTTCCTTCAATTCCTTTTTTCATTTGAAAACAAATTTTCTAGTGTCATTTTTTTCACTAAAAAACTTTAATATTGCTTTTCTGATAAATTCAATAGACCAGTATATGTGTAAAGTTTGACTCATATCCCGTTTCCAATTTCAATTTTATGAATAAATTCACCTTCACGTTAACAACCGTTGAATCTGTCTTTTTCTATGTGATATGACACCTTCCTACTTTGATAATTTCCTAAATGTCATCATTCAGTCAGTAACTGAACTGAACAATAAAAAAGTATTTAAGTGCAATTTTAAAAGATTAACAGCAGAACAAAAGTAGTAGTACAAAGACACACGATTTTTAACATTTGGGTTTATATTGAGTCTTATAGAAATTATAAATTGCAAAGTCAAACTCAGTAATATTCGGCATGCTGAAAAAATTGATGCATTTATCTCGTATATCTTCTACATTTTAAGTGATCATCGAAAAAAATATCATTATGATCTGCAAAGTTGACATATGTATGAAGGGTAATCAATGTTGAACTGTGCTGGAAATGAGCAACATTTGAGAATTTCAAGAAGCCCTCTCCCCCGACAAATTAATGAAAGATTGCGGATTGCTACGTCATCGGCGTCACGTTTTGTCTTAGTTGGGTATGATTTAATTGATTAAATAATTGTGTTGGGTATAAGTTGACGAGTTAGTAACCGAACAACACAATAGCTAAGAAAATCATTACAAGATTTTACAAGACTAAAATTCTACGTCTTTCCACTATAAGAATGAGGAGATGTGATTTTACTTCAAATGAGCCAACTATTCAAAAGAGTTGAAATGTTGAAAATAAAATCAATTATAGGTCACCGTACGGCCTTCAACAATGAAACCATCATACAGTAAAGTTAGTTATAAATGGCCACGACATGAACAATGTTAAACCATTTAAATGACATTGTATTTACGTTGATCAACACTACAACCAAATATCAACATATTTTTAACGCTGAATACCTGCTGGATAACGGTCTTATCTATACAAGACAATTTTCAAAAAAAAAAAGATGACAGACATAAACCAACGAAAACCACTGATTAGGACAGGCACATAAAGAATGGGGCGTTGTTAAACATGTTTGTTAACGTTCAATCCTCCACCTAACTTAAAAATACTTTACAACAATAAATATTGAAATACAAAGCAATTCTATAAGGAAAATAAATTGGCTGATCTTTATGAATTTGAAACTAGATATCGAAGGTCGGTTGCAACTTTTAGTTAATGTACATAAAGAATGTTTGTCTTTATCTTAATATTTGTAAGTTGCACATTAAAAAGTGATTATTTTATAATATTTGATCACATTTCAGCTTTTCTGTCAGCATGGGTTCCTCATTCAAAAACGATGTCACCCAATGAGATCATACCATTCACGACTATAATTGACAAGCATGGTATAAGTAGCGTTTCATCAATGACAAGCAGAGGAATATTTACTTGCGAGAAAACGGGATACTACTTCGTGTCTTTTTTTGTGACGTCCAATTCACCAAGAGCAGCAGCAAGTTTGTATAAGACTAGAACTTTGTATAATATTTCTTATACGATCGCAAGAGCTATGAAAAGTGGTGATGATGATTATGAATCGCATGCCGCGATGACAATAACTCAACTTGATAAAGGAGATATTCTATCAGTGAAAGCTAACAATAATGGGATGAATGTTTACAATACGTACGATTCAGGATTCACCATTCTTCAGATAAACTAATGAAAGCAATAATTCTATGTTTTGACATGTATTTCAGTTTTACTTTTATTTTATATGTAAAAATTTCGAAATTAAATTGCTCATACTAATTGATGAAAATTTCCACAGACAATTTATCATGTTTAATACACAACGCTGAACGCATATAAAGAAGAAACAGCAATTGGGGTGCTTAAAATTTTAAAATAAAATTGCTAATACTAATTTGGTGAATATTTCCACAGACAATTTAACATATTTAATACACAACGCTGAACGCTTATAGAGAAGAAACAGCCATTGGGGTGCTTAAAATGCATTTTCAAATATGTATTTATATTAAGTGAGAATAACTCATAACGATATACTTTTTGAATGTCTTTTAATGAGGTTTGTTTGCGTCAGTTGTGAATATCTTTTAAATTATTGAATGTATCAAAGAATCAAATGATGAGGCATGTATGTGTCCCGAAAATTGCAAAAGTAGTAAAATTACTCAATATAAAAATAAGAAGGTGTGGTATCATTGCAAATGAGACAAACCTTCACCAGAGACTAAATGACACAGAATTTAACAACTACATGTTAACGTACGGCCTTTAATAATAAGCAAAACTCATACCACAAAGTCAGCTATAAAAGGCCCCAAAATGACAAATGTTAAACAGTTCAAACGAAAACATTAACGGCTATGCTAGCTTTACCACTGGATGTAAGACTAGCATTGCAGCGAGGTGAGTTTTCGATACGTCAAAAAACTGGAAAATTCAATATAGTATGTAGCGACATGGCAACTTAAAAGTCTGTCATAAAGGATTCCAAAGGTTGTGGTGGAATCGATGGTATAACATGTCAAAAGCCAGTCATAATGAGATGGTCACTTACACGACTTGTGCGTGCAGACTTAAGGTGGTACATAACACTACAGGGAGATAACTCTGTAAAAATCAGCTGAACGTTTTAATCACGTTCTATTGTTAAGGAAATATCAAGCTTCTGAATGATCAAAATTAAGGTTTGTCAAACTGCTATATATCCAATGAAAGTTTTCAGATATAGTGCGTGGTTCAAGTTTTTTGAAATTTTTATATTTTTGTCAAAGGGTCAGAGTAGATATTTTGACAAAATTATATGAAAATTAAACAAGCCAAATTAATTTTAGTCAAGGTGTTTGGTACCATCTTAATGTTAGAACTTTAAAAAAAACAAAGGTCTGGATGCATCAATAACACAATTTAGATATAAACAATAAGGTACAACAGGCAAACAAGATAAAGAACAGAGAAAAATTATCTAAAAAGTTAAAGAATAAAACGGATCCCCCCTTGTGATATATAGTTTTATTTGTCCAATCAAATTGATAGTAATTGACCGATTAAGTAATAGTTGTGATTTAACTAGCCTGCAACAAACGAACTCCGAATAGGAGACGATGCTTTAAAATAATGACTTATCCGATCATGACATGTTTATGGTTGTAAAAGCTATAAGTGATGAAGCTTTGAAATAACGGCTAATCCGATCATGACATTTATATAATTTAAACAGCTATAAGTGATGGTGCTTAAAAATAATGGCATATAAATACATGACATTTATATGGTTTAAACATCTAGTTAAGGATTAAAAAAACAACTAAAACTGATAGTGACTGTACAGAATCTCAAAACCAGGGGTAAAAGATAGCAAAAGGACATTCAAACTCATAGTCGAAAACAAACTGACAACGCAATGGCCAAAAAAGAAAGAAACCACCAGACAAATAATAGTACACAAAACGCAACAAAAACTATAAAGACTGAGCAATACGAATCCCAACAAAAACTGGGGTAAACTCAGGTGCTCAGGAAGGGTAAGCAGATCCTGCTCCACATGTGGCACCCGTCGTGTTGCTCATGTTAGTACAAACCTGGTGATAAGTCTTATTCGATAGGTCACATTCGGGAAAGGGGGCGGAATTGTAGTTACGACATTAGGAACGTATCCGCTATCATCTATGAAACGGATATTCCATAACGGTTAAACAACTCGTTATGGCCTCCGTAAAATTTACGAACAGATGATTTCAACTTCACCACTTGGTACTATTGGTTTAATAGCTTCCTTGTGGGTAGCCTCAAAGAAATCTTCATAGGAAATACAAGTCCTGTAATATCGTATCAACTGGGAAATATATACTCCGTATGCAGGCGCTGCTGGAATGTTGCTACATAGTCTAAATGGAAAGTTCAGAATTGGGAAGCTAAAATCATCTCTTTTGTCGTAAAGCTTTGTTTTCAACCGACCCTCATCGTCAATGTGTAGATGTTAGTCAAGATATGAGGCATATTTTACTGTATCTGTTGTATCCTCATGTTCGATGGAATAGATGAGTTAAACATAGTCACCAAATTTTGAATTGTTTAGTGAGAGAACATCATCTATACAGCGGAAATTAAAATCAAAGGATACTGCTAACTTCTTTTCTTTCTTCCTAAGAAGTTCTTGTATTAAGTAAGCCTCATATAAATAAAAAACAAATCGACAAGAAGAGGGGCACAGTTGGTTCCAATTGGAATGTCGATCTTTTGTTGAAAAACACGTCCCCCAAACGTTAGAAATATGTTGTCAATCAAGAAATCAAGCATCTTAAAAATGTCAGTTTCAGAGAATTTTTTGTTTGAATCAGAGTGATATTTTACAAAGTAGGATTTAACCCTCCTTAAGAAAAGATACTTGTATTTACTTTGGCCATTCGTTTCCTTATGAAATAAAGCAGGACCGACTCTTTCAATTTGTCTTAATATGGAATGGGGAATGAAGATTGGCATGATCAGTGGGTTTTCATAGAGTTATTGTTCTTAGCATACTTTCTTGCACTTAGTGCATGTCTTTTAGTTTGAAATAGGGAATATTTGTGTAAAGTGAAGAAAAGTCAAATGTGTTAATACTATTGCAAGGTAAAAGAGTCTTAGATTGTATGTACTCAAAAATATTTTTGGAATTTTTTAGTATCCACATCTCATTCACGCCACCTCTAGAATAGGTTGTTTCACAATATCTTTGAAGTCCGTTTTTGATTGCTGATAAAACTTGATGTTAATAATTTAGAAAGAGGTTTTGTGGAGCACTTGGAAGACCCAGCAATATACCGTTGTTTGTAAGGACACTTATATAGTTTAGGTATCCTGTTCTTTTTTTGGGGTTCAAATTCCAAAGGAACATAGAACAAACCTATGATTATCCAGTATTAGGAAGTGTCGTGGGGGTATATGTTGAGTGTCCATGTGAATTATCAATCCCTAGTTCATTTATCAAACAGTTCCTGAAATATGATTTACACACAAAAAACGATGTTGTTTGGGGCTTTGTCTACGGGGACAACAACATATTTGTGATGGAGGTAGGACAAGTGTTTTGCAACATTTGAGTATTTAAAGATTGCTGTAGCATGGGTATTTATAGACCCATTCAGTTTATCAATTCTGATTTGTATCAACAACCTCACAGCCTTAGTCCATTCGGAAAGAGTATATACGTCTTCTTTCATTCGTTTAACCCATTGTCTGGCATAATCCTCAACTAAATTCATAAAGCGGAAAATAAAGTTGTGTTTCTAGTTGATGGATTTAGGCTTAAGATATTTCTGGCCTTTCAATAAAACATTTCGCAGAGAAGTTTTTTGAAATATTTCTAGGATTTTACAAACTCCTTATAGAATAACTAATCGAAGAATTCAAATAGAGAAAAATATTCAACGAGTGACCGAACAATACATTAATTCACGAATGCGCGTAGCGCATGAGTTAATTATCAGTGTTGTTCGGTCACGAGTTGAATATTTTTCGATATTTAAATTCTTTGATTAGTTATTCTTTTTATTACATTGGCAAATGGCTTTTTTTAATGAAATTAATGAAGAAAATGTAAGGAACTATATCTTTTTTCTACGCATTCACAATTTGTTTTGATCCGACGTTATCGACGTCTTGACAACGCCTATTGTTGTATGACGTCAGAGAGTGAAATAACCACGTTTATTTCACATGTGAAATTATCGGTTTTTATTTGACTGGGAAATCAATGTAATTCAATGCTACCAATGTAATAATTGATTTTATATATTCACTATAACATAATTATTTATGCTCGACTTAGAATTTGAAAAAAGACCTTTGTTGAGAAGTCAAAACTTTGCAATGAAAAAAGTATTTCCTTGCACTAGGTCAGAATGCTGGATTCTGCCTCAATTATCTCAGAGCTTCTGGGAGCATTGGATGACAACTATATCCAAAGATAAAAAAAATGGTATAAAGTATTATAGATTTAATGAATGATTGCTGGTTAATTTATTTAACAACTTTTATAAAGACTAACGACGAGTTATACCAATGATGAAGACTGTATTTTGCCCTTTGTCGTTTGCAAATTATTTATTGTCGTCAGGTTGCTGCCTCATTAAAGTTAAACGACATATCCTTGTACTCATATGTTAGATGATTGTGGTATTTTGCTTAATACAGAGATAACGATATTATTAAATCATTTTCCTATTTGTAGAACATAACACTCAAATATGTTGGTTATTCATCCGTCTTGTTAAAAGGTTGTGGAAATAGATAATGTACAGATACATCCTAGTGAAGGGTCACGGAAGCCACAAGAAGTCGTCATCATAATATGTAAATTCAGCGACCTTAAGATAAACTGCCTCATTGAAGTACACCCACATATCCTTGTCAGTCTTGTTAAAAGGTTGAGGAAATAGATAGTATAAAATACATCTCAGTGAAGGGTCACGGAAACCACAAGAAGTCGTCATAATAAGATGTAAATTTTGAGAATTTAACATGAACAGGTTACAACGATTCAACAATTATTGATCCTTTTAAGAGCAAATCCTGTGGTCCTGGATTGTATATACGGAAAAGGGAATACTGGCAAAAACGAAAGAGAATTGTATTGTTGCTAAAATATCTGAAGTAGAAAAATGGCCTACAAAATTAAGGACATCAGAAAGTAACCCGTCCCCCAAGAACCTCATCTATCGAAAAGATATTCAGGAACAATCTTGGTGTTACTACTATAAGGATAGTCTGGTACTCGCCACGAGGGAAGGAGATCATGGGTATCGATCCCTGACA